GTCTTCGCGTGATCTCATGTCCTCATCTTGCAAAAAATCAGATTCTGAACCAGCCAAATCTTTCAAACTATCATATTTCACTTTCTGTTGTACGTTTATAAATGTATTTTTAAATACATTTTAAATTAATTTGCATATGCGATTTACACATGCTGACGTGCTAACTTTTGGTCAGTTATCAGGTGGGTAGTTCGTAAGGCACACCCCTCAGCAGCATGATAGCAAATTTTGGATGTTCCACCATTAACACATTAGAACCAGTACACATGCTCTGTTATTTGCAAACCAACGACTGTACGCACTGATTAAATATGTGCTCGTTTGCAAACGCTTCTTCAGTTAGCACTTCTTTATCGCTGCGGTGTTTCAGTGTCTTCGTATCTTTTGTCGCACTCATGTTCTGGCATGCTCATCCATGTTTTTATCGCTCCTCAGCTTCCTGGCGTTGTATTCACTAGAGGGCAATTGTTTAGTTTGTTAGCTGTAGTACGGAAAAAACTTTGAGCAGTCAGGTCATGGATAACTAGCATAAGAAAATACGATTTTTTAGCAGCTCCTCTGTGGTCAGACCATGGGTATTAAGGTGAACAACAATAAATGAGGTTTTTGGCTTTCTCTGTAAGTTTTGCATTTTTTATCTTTACTGTATGGTGGTCTGTTCCGTCTGTGTACGGCTGCATGCGAAGCTTCTGTTTTGATCGGGTTGGTTTTGACTGCTTCTAAGTTCAGGTTAAACTTAGTTTCGTTTATATACGTATTACGTAGTTCATATCTTGGGAAATTCGTAACGGTTCCATGTCAGTATCTGAAATCCAATATCTTCAATATAGTGGGTGTCGAAAGGAATTTTGTTGTCTCATCTTGGTCCCTTTAACCATCTTATAGGGGAGTTTGATTTATTGATTTCCTATCGATATGCTATATTTTACTTAATTTCGTAGGTCATTTACACAACTTTTTTGTGATTGAGACTGATCTATATGACTTTGTCGCGTTCTCCGTCCTAATAAAATCATGTTAAATTTTATACAGGCCGAGAAATATCTCATGAAGAAGTTACTACATATATCTATCCCTGATTCTATGAAGGTCGTTAAGATGGTGATGGACAAGTCGCTGTTGTTCATTCTAGATCAGATCGAGGCAAGGCTTTATTGACATTCACTTTGTTTCCTGACACCGTGATCGCGAGCTGTTGATTTAGGAATGTTTGTCGCAAGTACGCAAAAGTGTCAATAAGCAGGACCACGCCGCCGTGCTTTGCTTGTTTCCGGTGTCGCGCTATCTGCGGTCCAATTTTGGCCACCTTAGTCAGTACTTGGAGGTAAGCGTCGCAGTGAGTTTGTTTTTACCGTAAACGTTGTTATTTTTGTTGTTTCAGAATTTTTCTGACGAAATGAAACCTAAATTGGACGCAATGGTCAGATCTGTCGATTCGCTGGTGCACTGTACATTTCTCGTTCGTTATGGTGATTTTCACTGTCAGTTTTTAGTGTTTGTATGCGTTGGAAAAGTTTATCGCCCATGTCAAGAGCGACCAGGATAAATTCATCCCCGAAGACGCGACTGTCCACCAGTTGACAAGCAACGTACATACTATGCTTATCATGCGAGCTACCTGATCTAAAATACATTGTCTTTTATTTTTTTAGGCGTTGATGTTCGTTGATCAGTTAGTAGACTTGAAGGACTGTCTGGCTACGGTCCTGACTCAAAATTCCAACGATTCGCCTAATGATGCAATTCCAACTTTCTTTGGTACAGTCAGTTTTTGATTGATG